TCAGAATACTACATATGAGAACCACGACCACCTGAGGCACCGTGGTAAACCTGAAGTGCTGACTGAAAAGGCCTAGGAGGATGGCCTCTACCATACAAATCCTTGCCTCCAGACGAGGCACCACTGAATCTGTCTGAATGACGAGGCCTCTTATCAGACCCCTAACCACCCCCTGTGATAGAACCATCTCAACTCTCCTGGCCATATTGGCCGCATCCTGAAAGGAAATCTCGCTCCCTGTCTCCTTAGCCATTTGAAGTCGAATAGGTTGAACGAGTCCCTCAATGAACCTCCTCACTCTCTCTCTCAGTGGGAAGTATAAGAAGAGCATGTCGGGCCAAATCAATAAACCTGGTCTCGTACTGAGTAACAGTCATAGAACCCTGCCGGAGACGCTCAAACTGCCTCCGATAGATCTCTCTCTGAGTGACAGGAAGAAACTTCTCCAGAAATAGCTGAGAAAACTGATCCCAAGTCAAAGCTGGTGACCCAACTGGTCTAGCCAAACAATAATATCTCCACCAAGTCTTGCCAGATCCAGATAAGCAAAAAGTAGCAAAGTAGACCTCATTGGTCTCTACTATCCCCATGTTCCTAAGAACATCACGGCAGTTATCTAAATAATCCTAGGGATCCTCAGAAGATGCACCACTGAAAGTGGTAATGAAGAGCTTGGTGAACCTGTCCAATCTCCACAAGGTATCAACAGACATAGCTGCTCCATCACCGGTCTGAGCTACTACACCCGGCTAAACTGCTCCAACTAGCTGAGCTGCTGGAGTCTGAAACTGGGGAGCCATCTGCTCTGGAGTGCGAGTAGCAGGAGTCTAGGCTCCTCCTACAGCCTGAGAGACGGTCGGTGCTACAGGAAGCAAGCCTACCTAGGTGACACTCTCCATAAGGCCCACTAGACGGACCAGAGCATCCTGGAGTACTGGGGTAGCAATAAACCCCTCTGGGAGTTGAGATGGGCCCACCGGAACTGCTTGGGCCGGAACCTCATCATCAAACTCAACCTGAGGCTCCACCGTTGGTGCTGCTGCTCTAGGCTGAGCTCTGCATCTACCTCGGCCTCTAGCACGACCTTGACCTCGCCCCTTGCCCCTCGTGGGAGCTACTGCTGGGGGCTCGGGCTGCTGATCAGTGGATGAGGAAGCGCGTGTTCTCGCCATCTGCGAAAGAACAGAGTAGAAATTTAATTAGCATCAAGAAACCAAACTGCACGACATGAAGGAATAAATGTAAAGTTTTTCCTAACTCTGTAGCCTCTGGGATAAATACAGGTGTCTCTATACCGATCCCTCATACTCTACTAAGCTTGTCCGTGAATTGTGAGACCTATGTAAACTAGAGCTCTGATACCAACTTGTCACGACCCGGATTTCCCACCCTTGGGAGTCGTGATGGCGCCTATGAGTGAAAGCTAGGCAAGCCGACCATTTGAATTATTTACCTTTTTCCATTTTAATCCTTTAACAATTAATAACCAACATTAGATAAACAGTAGAATTTAATAAGCGGAAGACTGAAACGTAATATTTTAATAAAGATGCCAATACCAATCCATACATAAACTACCGAGAACTGGTGTCACAATTTCACAAAATGACTAGGAATACTACAAATAAAGGTCCGAAAGATTTATTACAACACTGTCTCTGAAATACATAAAAGAAATAGAATGAAAAGGATATGAGGAGACGCTAAGGCCTGCGGACGCCTGCAGGACTACCTCGGATCTCCAAATGGACTGAAGGTAGCAACCCAAAGCTAAGGTCTGTATGCTCTAGTATCGGGATCGGCACACCGTGCAGAGTGTAGTATCAGCACAACCGACCACATGTGCTGGTAAGTGCCTAGCCTAACCTCGGTGAAGTAGTGACGAGGCTAGGACCAGACTACAAATAAACTTGTGTAGTTAAATCATATACATCGGAAATAAAAGCAAAAGTTTACAATTAAAGATAGGGAGGGGAAATCATATTGCGAGGAACAACAAATAGCAACAGAAACCAACGGTTAAATGTAAAGAACATTGTAACTCAATTTTCAATAGAAATCAGGAAAATCAAAGACACGTTCACGACATCACCCTTCGTGCTTTACTCTCGTCCTCACTATAAAATCAATATAAATAGCACGACATCACCCTTCGTGCTTTTACCTCACAAAATTATGGCACGGAATGATCCTTCGTGCATTATCATTCATATAAGGGCACAAAATGGTACATCGTACGGCATGGCATCACTCTTCGTGCATTAACACTCTCTCACAAAATCATACACGGCATCACCCTTCGTGCTTTAATACTCTCTCACTAATACAATAAACGGCATCACCCTTCGTGTTTTAACACTCTTCCTCACCCAAACAACAATCACAAGCAATAAGGGCAAGGAAATCACAATAAAATCCCGGTAAGGGAACAATAGTACAACAATCAAATCCCGGCAAGGGAGATAGCATTAAAAGCAACAACATCCCGACAAGGGAGACAATATAATAATCCTCTTCTCTTTTTCACATTTACTTCACAATTTGAGTTAATGCTCTATGAGGTTCAATTGTCAATTATACTTTCACAAATCATTTTACAACTTGAGCCAATGCTCTTCAATGTCCAAATACCACTATTACTTCTACAAGCCTTGCTCAACGATAGAAATCACATAAGGCATGAACAATACAAACGGAGTCATATTAATCATAGCATAAGACTCACGGGCATGCTTAATACCAACGTATAGATACTCGTCACTATGCCTATACATTGTACTCAACAATTAACACATAGAAAATAGGACACAACTCCTAATCCCTCAAGCTAAGGTTAGACCAAATACTTACCTCGATGCCACGAACACAATTCAAGCCTCAACTACCGCTTTACCTCTTGATTCCACCGCCAATTCGCTCGTATCTAGCCACAAGTTACTTAACTATATCAATAAATGCTAAATGAATCAATTCCAATGCATGAAAATAGGTTTTCTAAAGTTTTTCCCAAAAAGTCAAAAATCGACGCCGGGCCCACATGGTCAAAACCCGAGGTTCGAATCAAAACCCGATTACACATTCACCCACGAACCCAAATATATAATTTGTTTTAAAATCGGACCTCAAATCGAGGTCCAAACCCCCAAAATTTGAAAAACCTAAGTTCTACCCAAAACACCCTATTTCCCCCATGAAAACCTTTGATTTTGAGTTGAAATCGTGTGAAAAGATGTTAAAGATTAATGAAAATGAGTTAGAAATGACTTACAATCAATTTGGAAGAGTACCTGTCCTTGAAAAATCGCCCAAAAGTGTTTAGGTTTTTAAAAGTGTTGAAAAATGGCTGAAATGTGTCTAAGTTATGATTTAGCAGGTTGCTGACCTCGCAAATGCGAAGGATATGTCGCATTTGCCACATCACATTTGCGATACATAGGTCGCATTTGCAACCTTTGGCTTTAACAAAAGACTTCACATTTGCGAAGGGTACCTCGCAAATGCGAGATAAAGATGGCCTGGGGTTCTTCGCATTTGCGACCAAAACCTCACATTTGCGAACCCTGCTTTCATCGCATTTGCGATGCCTGATCTCGCAAATGCGAGATCAGAGGTCTGCTACAAACCTGCAACACACCAGCAATTCTCCTAAGTCCAATTTCACTCCGTGGCCTATCCAAAACTCACCCGAACCCTCGAGGCTCCAAACCAAACATGCACACTAACCTAAAAACATCATACAGACTTGCTTGTGCAATCAACTCGTCAAAATAACATCAACAACTATGAATTTAGCATCAAAATCTCAAGAACTTTCAAAGTTTCAAATTTTACAACTAAGGTTCCGAAACACGTCATATGACCTCCGTTTCTTACCAAATTTTATAGGTTCAACTTAAATCACATATAAGACTTGTACCGGGCTCTGAAATCAAAATACGGAACCGATACCATCAAATTCAAACATATTTTATTTCCAAAAAACTCATATATATTCCAGAAAATAATTTTCTTTAAAAAATTATTTCTCGGGCTTCGGATCTCGGAATTCGATTCTGGGCATACACCCAAGTCCCATATTTTCCTACGGACTCCTCGGGACCGTCAAATCACGGGTCTGGGTCCGTTTACCCAAAATATTGACCGAAGTCAACTTAAATTTATTTTAAAAGCAAAATTTATCATTTTCACAGATTTTCACATTATGGCTTTCCGAATACGCGCCCGGATTGGGCACAAAAATCGAGGTGAGACAGAAGGAGGTTTTTAAAACCTTGAAACACATAATTTATTTCTAAAACAAGTGATGGCCTTTTGGGTCATCACATTCTCTAAAAGAAAAAGAAAAAGAAATTTAAGTTTTTGATTTGCTTTACTTGACAAATCTTTGTTGATAAGAATAATATTCATAAAATATTCTTCATAGAAGTCCTTATAAATTATAATAAGACATTCAAGGACTTTTATGAGCAAGGTTTCTTTTTTTATTGAGCTAGCTAAATAAAATCAACATTCGTTATCTTCACACGTTTATATATTTTTCGTTAATTTTTTATTTTATATGTCAAATATATTATTTAATAATATTTATGTATTTTATAAAAAAAGTGTATTAATTGATACAGGGTACACATATATATATATATATAAACTTGTTACTCTAATAACTAGGATGTTACTCCTAATTCCCATATTAGTAAGGTAGAATCTTATACTGAAAATAAAAAGTGTTGCCCAAATCCATCGATATTAGTGAGAGTGCTAGGATTGAGGATGTCATAACAAACACAACAAAGAAACTTAACATGAATTGCATGTGATGTTCCTTATGTTTGACTGTTTGTTACGTTGCTTTCTCTCGAATTATGCATGCGATGCAAACACCCCCTACGTCACTGTTCACTATGCCATCAATATATAGCAACTTTTCCTTAAAACAACGTAACTCTCTCAACAATCCCACATCTGTTCTGTCGAGTTTGAGATTGTAAGTTCATAGCAAAATGAGCTCAAAGAGTAGAAGTACCATTGAGGTTGGAGCTGATGGAGTTGCTGTTATCACCATTGTTAACCCTCCTGTCAATTCTCTTTCCTTAGATGGTATGTTAATAACTTCATACATCTCTCTTTTTTCCTTTCGGCATTTTTCGTCATTGTTTCAACATTTAACTATATATCATGGGTTCGAGCCATAGAATCAGCCAATAATACTTGCATGCATTAGGATATAGCCTATCTACACCACACCTTTTGGGATGCGGCCCTTCTATGGTCCCCGAATGGATACATAATGCGTTGTGCATCGGCTGCCCTGCCCTGCGCCAGAAGTTTCAACATTATTTCCTAATATTAAATATATTGGAAACTTTTACATTTTAAATATATTTAATTTGTAGTTATAAAGAATATTATTTTCCCCTGCATGAGGTGGGATGATTTTATTCTTAAAAATCTGAACTTTCTTATCATGGTTTCTTGTATTGAGTTTCTCATAGTTAGCAACATTTGATGGTATTTGTTTTATGAAAGCATCCTTTTTTCTCTTCGTTTTAAAGGAAAGAAAGAGAAAAAGTAGTACAGTAGCTGTTAAATTTTACAAATTTAAAGCTCAATACGTGAACCCCACTCTTTGATTTTCATTGTACTGCAATTTTTTAAAAAAAGTTTTGTACAGCTTGGAAGAGAAATTACAGGAAGGCTTAAGGAGAGATGATGTGAAGGCAATTGTTGTGATAGGTATATTTGATGAAATCACATTCATTTATAAATGTACATATCATCCCAAATGGGTGAGATATTAGGTTGAATACTTATATATCTTGACAGGTTATCAAGGAAATTTCTCGGGTGGTTTCCATATCTCTTCCTTTGCTGACTTGCAACAAGGAAAAGGTAAACATTCTTGCAGTCTGAATATATATGCCAGCAGAGGCAAAATGAGAATCTAAAGTTTACGGGTTGAAATTTTAGTTCTTTTAAGTTATTGAGTTTTAATTTAATAATCTTTATATATTAGTAAATGAATTTCTTAAGACAAATATAAAGTTTGAGCCAAAGTTAATGAACCCGTATTTTACAGACTAACTCCGCCTTGCATACCGCTACAGCGCTAGCCTATAGGTAAAATATTACTCCCTCCGGTCCACAATAAGTGACCATTTTACCTTTTTATTTTGGTCCAAAATAAGTATCTATTTACATATTCAAGAAGGAATTAATTTTCTTTTTCCAAAATTTGACCTTATTTACATATTCCAATGTGTCAGGGTAACAATGAATTAAGGTTAATTTAGTGCTACATCTTTTTTTCTCTAGGAGTTCGTATTTTCTTAATGGGTGTGCTAAAGGTAAAATGGTCACTTATTGTGTGGATCGAAGGGATCGAGTAGGTTTTAGAGGTATATAACATATATTGAATACTCTAATTTATTGGGAAATCTTTTTTACTTCTTTTAAGTTTAAACACCCTTAAAAAAAATTCCGATTTCCTTAGCTAATTTCAGTCTGCCAAATATTACAGTTGCCCAACCAAAACCTGGTTATGTATCAGTTGATATTCTCACCGACACTGTGGAAGGTATGCCTTTTGCTTTATCTTTCACCTTTGAAACTCTTAAGTTGAATGCAATTTTAGGGTGGAAAGTCATTTTCCATAAAAATGTTTTCTATGAGTAAGTCAATCTTTTGGTGTTTTCGTATGACAAAAGGCATTTTCTAGGAAAATTATTTTTCATCAAAATATGGAAAACCACTTCCCTCATGATGTACGGCTAGAAGTCATTTTCCTTAAGACTATTTTTATTTTAAACATCATATTACTTGCTCCAACTAAAAACTATACATTATTATCAATCATTAATGCTCAAAAGTTTGATCAAAATACTCTTTAATTTAATAATATTATCATTGATCTTTATTTATTTTTTAACAAAAATATCCACTCACCAACCAAACATAGAATAATATGAAAAATAACTTCCATCATACCAACACATCCTAAAACATCATCCGATTAGAAAAAGAGATTCTTCCAACTTCGCCTTCAACGGTGAACTTGTAGGTTATTGCAGAGCTCCTTCTACACTTAACTATCAGCAAAGTTGATCAATGCAGTTTAAATTGTTAACTTAATGTTACTTGTCTTTGATGTTATAAGCTGCGCGAAAACCTTTTGTGGCAGCCATTGATGGTCATGCTTTAGGTGGAGGACTAGAAATTGCAATGGTACGTAAATGTTAAATTACATCTTTAATTCTCTGCAGAAGTTGCTGATGAATCCGTTTGCTAACTTTTTTTTGTGCTTGAATCAGTGTTGTCATGCACGGATTTCCACTCCGAATGCACAACTTGGATTGCCAGAACTTCACCTTGGTATAATTCCTGGATTTGGAGGTATATAGTGCTTCGCATCTCTTCTTTACATTATGCTTATCAGTATATTTTTACCTATTACAGCAGATCATTTATTATTTTCTCGGTGATCAAATCAGACTTCTTATAAAAAATTACTTATTGTTGCTGGTTACTTAAACTTGATAGGGTAAGAATTTTTTTTACGTTGTCAGTTCACCTAAGTTATAAAACTTGTATCAGAGGTTTTATTTTTCTATCCGTATTATATTTGGCTCGGTTGGATGCTTTATCTGTTTCGATCCCGCCCATATCCGACCCGGCTCGCCCGTTTGCCACATCTATCAATAAGTTACCTGTGTATTTTGATATATAGTACATGACCACTGACCATGTAGCATAGGTATGGACACAATGTCGCATTTGATATTGATGCCAAACGAAGAAACAAATTCTTCTAAAGAATCAAGGAATCGAATGAAATCAAAGGAATGGAATCCATTGCAGTTTTGCAACAGAGTTATGGGCCATACTTTTCCATGTTTAAATCGTCCTGTAGGACATTTCATGGAAAATTGAATAATTAGAAAGTTGCACTCCTGAAGGAAGAAGAAGTTTCCTCTTTGTAAGTTTTGATCGATTAGGAGAGAAAATACTCCATCCTTCCCAAACAGAACGGAAGAGTTAGAAAACGAGCTAGTATCAATCATCTAATCTTTAGTGTGAATTCAGATACATTTATTTTCTTAGTTTTTCAAAATGAAATTACATTAATTTTTTATAGCAAAAGAATGTTTAGGTAATGTAAACAAGTTGTAGCAAAAGGAAAAAAGTTACTTGACTCTAAAACAAAGTGATAGTGTCATATGAAATTGGACACAAAAAGTAGTAGATTGGAGATGGAATGGAATCCGTTGCAGTTTTGCAACAGAGTTATGGGCCATACTTTTTGATTCACTTAAACTTTTGGTGTAACAAATATTATTCTATGTTGTATTAACAACTGGTTGAATTTTGTGGAAGTGTGCTGTAAATCCTTACAGTATGTAATAATGTCTAACACTAGCCCAATGGAGTATTATATAATTAAATGGATATATTACTCCTAAAAATTGCATGGAATCTTGTTGTAATGCAATATTTCAGGTACTCAAAGACTTCCACGCCTTGTTGGACTTGCTAAGTGAGATAAACAGAGTTTCTTTGAACGTCTATCTCTAATTATCTCCATGCCAAGAATTTTCTTTGCCTCGCCAAAATCCTTCATCTCAAACTCCTTCTTCAGTTGAATCTTCAACTTATCAATTTCTTCCGAATTCTTGGAAGCTATCAACATATCATCAACATATAGGAGAAGATATATAAAGGGACCATCTTTAAGCCTGCGCAAATACACACAATGATTGTATTTGCTTCTCTTGTACCCTTGCTGCAACATAAACTTGTCAAATCGTTTGTACCATTGTCTAGAAGATTGTTTCAAACCGTACAACGATTTTTCAAGTTTGCACACCATATTTTCTTTTCCAGCAACTTTGAATCCTTCTGGCTGAGTCATGTAGATTTCCTCCTCCAAGTTTCCATGTAAAAACGCAGTTTTTACATCCATCTGAACTAGTTCCAAATCCAATTGTGCTACCAAAGCCAACATAATTCTAATGGAGGAATGTTTTACAACTGGAGAAAACACTTCATTGTAATCAATTCCCTC